AAATCACAATTTCAAGTCAATAATTTCATCTCAAACATATTACATTACCTAACAGTATGAAGATGAGAATGAACAATATATGAAAAGCTCAATGAAATTGCATTTCACTAATTTAAAGTCATTAATCCATCTAAAACATACAAATGTAACTTAAAATGTGAATGCAACACTGAACACTATATTAAAACCTCAATCAAATTGCAATTAACTAATTTCAAGTCATTAATCCATCAAAAGCATACAAACGTAACTGAAAGTGTGAATGTGACACTAAACACTATATTAAGACCTCAATCAAATTGCAATTCACTAATTTCAAGTCATTAATCCATCTAAAGCATACAAACCTAGCTGAAAGTGTGAATGTGCCACTGAACACTATATTAAGACCTCAATCAAATTGCAATTCACTAATTTCAAGTCATTAATCCATCTAAAGCATACAAACCTAGATAGTGTGAATGTGTCACTGAACACTATATTAACACCTCTATCAAATTGCACTTCACTAATTTAAAGTCATTAATCCATCTAAAACATACAAATGTAACTTAAAGTGTGAATGTGACACTGAACACTATATTAAGACCTCAATCAAATTGCAATTCACTAATTTCAAGTCATTAATCCATCTAAATCATACAAACCTAACTGAAAGTGTGAATGTGACATTGAACACTATATTAAGACCTCAATCAAATTGTAATTCACTAATTTCAAGTCATTAATCCATGTAAAGCATACAAACCTAACTGAAAGTGTGAATGTGCCACTGAACATTATATTAAGACCTCAATCAAATTGCAATTCACTAATTTCAAGTCATTAATCCATCTAAAGCATACAAACCTAACTGATAGTATGAATGTGCCACTGAACACTATATTAACACCTCAATCAAATTGAAATTCACTAATTTCAAGTCATTAATCTATCTAAGCATACTAACCTAACTGAAAGTGTGAATGTGACACTGAACACTATATTAAGACCTCAATCAAATTGCAATTCACTAATTTCAAGTCATTAATCCATCTAAAGCATACAAACCTAACTGATAGTGTGAATGTGCCACTGAACACTATATTAACACCTCAATCAAATTGCAATTCACTAATTTCAAGTCATTAATCCATCTAAAGCATACAAACCTAACTGAAAGTTTGAATGTGACACTGCAAGTACTTTAAAACCTCAATCAAATTGCAAGTGAGTAATGCATTACATGAACTAATCGTTTCCATTGCAGTCATTATTTCAAATTTTCTGAAAATTAAACAAAAGAGTAAGTACTGAGATTACCTTGCCAGATGGAAGAACCTCTTCTTTCTCTGCGCTCTTCTTATTTTTATTGTCCTCAGTTGGTTCATTTTTCTCCTTCGTCTCAAAATCACTGTCAGAAAATTCATTATGTTTGCCTTCGTTTTCTACACATTTCTCGGTCAAAGCCTTCTTTCGCTTCACCATCTTTGTTGTGGCTCTATGCTCTTCGTTGATTGAATTTTGATTCAATTAGGCTGAAGACTCGAACGAAACTGTGTTCCTCGTTAACGGTGAAGCGTGCATCGTCTCAGAGCAAGTTTTCAATGCAACGGAAAAAAAAAATCGGAAAACGTTAATGTAGGAGACATTTTTTTTGGAAAAAGGCGAAAGAGTGCATGTGGATGGGCGGTTGATTTTTTAGCTTTAAATTGAGGTTATTTTCGTCATTCTGTGTTACTTATGGTCTTAGACCTGCCGGTTGTCCTATTTTGGTAAATGGGATGGGCCTATGGTCCTATTTGTAAAATTTTCCCTTCGGTGTAACTGGAATGGTAAAATGGTCTCATCCAGTTTGAGAAAGGTTCGTTATGAAAAAAGAACACCCCATATTAGAAATCACAATTTTAATGAATTACTTCATAATAATTAGTTATCCCATTATAAAAATAAGTGTCTTTGGTAGAGACACCTAAACCATATGACTCTATAATGGAGTTATATATGACTCCATATAATGACTTAAAAATTAGGGTATTCATATTGTGTACCAAATTAATACACAAAATTGGTACACACATGATTTTTTTTCATTTTTCCCTAAATAGAATTAAATTATTGTCATTCTTAAATCTTATTATCATATTTTGACACGTGAGACATTAATGTGACTATATTAATGACATATATAATTAGCATTGTCATCCAAGTATGGCAATAATATAATTAATTATATTTAGGGGGAGTATAATACTCCTAGTTAAAAATATTGCATTTAAAATTACTTTAATTTGATAGTTACGCGAGAATACCACTTGCAACATCTAGAGAGAAGGGTGTATTGCATTGATGGATGTTTGAACCATTACATCTGCACAAGGGGCTATTTATACGAGTCATATATGCTAAGTGCATTAAATGCATGCGTGTACATATGTAAGCTAATCTATGGAGCGAAGCTCTATAGTAGGGCAGAGTCGGGCACATGTTCGAGCGTTAAATGAGTCCGCTGATGACTGGAGGGGAAGGAGCCTAGAGGTTCATCCATCGGCTGGCCGAGGGGTCTCGAGTGAGGGGTCACTTAGAAGGTGGAATCTTCTCAGACCGGATTTGTCATCACTTTTTAACTTTGTATGCTATTGTAACCCTCGATTGTATGTACGAAGGCACAGTCGAGAGGTGGTTGGCCGCTTGTTAGGCTTTAGCAACCTATTAAGCCTGTTCCAGTGTCTCAGAGCATGTGGACCGGGGGGGGGGGGGGGGGGGGGTTAATTAGGAGCATATACTCCATAATGATTTATGATAAGTTTTGTACAAAGTACGTGCTCCTATTTCCTTATATCATTATAGACATTATCATATGAAACCTGCAAGATATGATCAAATTAAAGTTAGGTGTTACACAAAAGACTCAAGATGCATCCCTCCATCCCTTTTAAGTTATTCATTTTTATTTTTCTAGTCAAAGATACTAGATTTTGGTCAGTAATATATTTATATACAAAAATATTTATAATGTGAGAATAATACAAAAATGTTCTTTGGTAAAAATGTTATCATAAAAAATATAAACTTTATATGTTTCAAAAAGAATATAATTGTTATATAATTGATCAAAGATCACCACCATTGCCAAGAAAAACCAAACATAACTAACTAAAGGCCTCTCACATTTTCTTCTTCATACTAACAAATATTTTTTCACAGTTTTCATTTTGTCCTAACTCTCTTTGTGTTTTTTATTCTACTCCAACTTAGACCGTTTATGTACATCCATATATTGACATCATTGCATCCATCATCTTTGCATCTTATCACCACAAATATTTTACAGCTTTCACTCTAAGTACCAGTTTCAGACCGTAGCACAAAAGGCAATTATGAAATAATTTCGTACGAATGAATTACTCCAAACAACTTTTTTCAATTGTGTTTGTCCCAAATGTCAATGTATTTAAAGGTCAAACCACATCAGGCACAATATTCACGGTTAATGTGGTTTGTATTTTAATACGGAGTAATGTATTCATGGATAGGATGCTGAACTTGCTTCTTTAGTATTATAAAAGATCATGATATATGAGAAGAGTTTTTTTTGAAAAGATATACTACGTATGAGAAGAGTTATAATTGCAGATTTATGATTTAAGGAAGAAACCAAAAGATTAATGTAGACGCTTGAGAGGATATAATGTGGTGAATGTGAAAAAATGATTTTTTTAATGAATCGGTGAAACAAAGAGAAGAATATAATGCGAAGACAAACGTGGCAATTGATTCAATAGTAAAAGTTGACTCATAATAAGTCTTACTTTTGCACATTTTCATAGAGTATATGATTTCATTCACCTTAGATGTGGTCCAACTAAAACGATTTGTGGGTCCTTTCTATATTATAGATGAGAGGTGACTAAACTATTACGGAGTATGTTATAATCATTTTTGTAACAAGTTTTTCAACCACAAAATGTACATTACACATTGTGCGAATTATACTTTAACCCTTCGACGGACCGTCGCTTCTACTTTTAGTTCAAATCGAACTTCGGTGAATTGCCGCTTCTATTTTCGGCTCGAATCGAACTCTGGTGCTACACTGCAATCTTGGCTTTGTCTCGTCTACACGAACATGAACAGATTAAGAAAAAAGAGAAGGAAAGAAAGAAAAGGAAGAAGAAAATCAAAAGAAAAAGAAATCCATGTGAATGAATTCAGGCCATGGAAGAAGAGAAATGGGCCTGCGCAGAGGAAGAAAGGGGAAACGGAGAAAGAGAAAGAAAAAAAAGAAGACAAAGAAAGGGGAAACGGAAGAAACGTGACAGAGGTTGTTATGTGTGTGCCATATCAGCAAGTAACTCATTGAACGACAGATTACTTGCCATAAATCGATTTTGACAAAATTTACTAAGAATAGGATGCAATTGATGAAAGTTGAAGTACCAATGCGAATTGATTTACCATATAAAGTAGGAGGAGTGATTTAACTTTTCTCAAGATCCAATTATTTATTAATATGCTTATGATGTAAATAGGGTGGGGTCAATAGAGTGAAATTAGAGCAAGGTAGGATAATAGCTTAGAAAAGTAACAGTACACCATGTACGTACGTAGTAATTATTGAAAGGAATATCGCTAGGAAGAAGCCATCTTTTACTGTTTTTACACAAGTGAACAAAAACAAAAAATCACGGAATATTAGCAAAGGAGGCAAGGCAAAATAAAGTTTGTTCAAGAAATTATGGACCATTCGTAAAAAAAAATTATGGACCTAATGTAGGTATAATTAATTAATTATCAACAGTTAAGGGTATAAAGTAAAAAGTTAAAGGGAAAAAATAGAGAAAACAAAACGACGAGGAGTGAGAGAGATTGTCTAGTCTCCCTAAATTTTTGTTCAACTTGGGAAGACTAACAGCAATTTAATACGGGTAAGAAAAATATGAAAAATACCCCAAACCTTTTCATTTTATTGTTTACAGTCCCTATAAATAGGCACACTATACATGCATCCCTTCCACATCTCTTGCTACTCGCATTTTTTCCAGCTCTCTTCTCTGAAGGTAAACGAATCAATGAATGAATTCTCCCCATTTTCTCTTCCATTTATTTTCTTCATCAATTTTCTCAAACATTTTCCTTTCTATCAATGCCACTCCATTTTCTTCAATCCAAGTATTCAAAAGCCTGTTCGTCTTCTATTCAAAATCCACGTTTTCTTCAGTTTCCATTTTCGTGTTCTGTGTAAATGTATAGATTTCAGTAACAGATCTCTCGTCTTCGTGTTGTTGAGTTGACGAAGCAATTAGGATTTAGGAAATGGAGATAAGTTAGGCTTCTTATGGATGGATGGTGATGGCGGTGCTATCCTTCTGCCAAACCTCACAGCATTTGTTTTCCTCCAAAAACTTCGGATTTTTTTAAATGTCTTTTTATTTTATTTTAGTAATTTGTTTATTAGTTAGAGAATCTGGGAGAAGAATAGCCGTTGATGTTTGTCTCTCCTTTCCGCTTCATACTTTGCATGTGGTTAACCACTTGTCCTGCTTTTAATGATGCATTCTCTGTATATTTGTCTGTTTCTTTTTTGGATTCGCATTATTTCGCTTTTCTCCTTTTGAATGTTAATAATTGCTGGCAGGGAGGATCCATCCAATTCTGCTGGGGTGGTGGAAGAATGGGTTCATTGGGAGTGAGTGATGAATACGATTTGAAGGGAGCTTTTCCAGAGGAGGAGAAGAAGGTGAAGGGGGTGGAAATGGAATTTGATCCAAGTTCTGCTCCACCGTTTAGAATTGCAGAGATTAGGGCAGCCATTCCTCCGCATTGCTGGGTGAAGAATCCATGGAGATCGTTGAGTTATGTGTTGAGGGACTTTCTGGTAGTGGCTTCCTTGATGGCATTGGTGCTTTACCTTGACTCTTGGGTCGCTTGGCCTCTCTATTGGGCTGCACAGGGCACTATGTTTTGGGCCATCTTTGTCCTTGGCCATGATTGGTACTGCACTTTCCTAATTTGCAACCCTAACTTTTTAATACTCCGTATTAAAGTAATAATTTCACTTTTTATTACATTATTGTTTTGTGTATGTATTTTGATTTTGATTAATTAATGAATTATTGTGTGGCCATGTGGTTTACAGTGGACATGGCAGTTTTTCTGATAGTGCTCTGCTAAACAGCGTGGTTGGACACATCCTGCACTCCTTCATCCTTGTACCTTATCATGGATGGTCCGTTTTTTATTTTATCTTTTCCCGTACTGAGTGATCTCTGACATTCTTTGTAATGTTCTTAAATGAATACAGAGTAATAAACAGTAAATGCTTTGTGTTCTTAATTAATGCAGGAGGATTAGCCACAGAACTCATCACCAGAATCATGGAAATGTTGAACGTGATGAATCTTGGGTTCCGGTAAACTAAATCTCTTTAAAGATACAATATTTTCTTAGTTACCAACTTACCATTTGAAACCTCCCTCTCAGTTTACATGTTTTTTTTAGCGAAGATTAAGAATTAAAATGTTTTTTTTTTCAAAAAAAGAATTAAGATAGCTGATACCTGTTTGAGTACATATGAGGAAACCACACCAAGTCTGGCAACTTTGTTTGGCCGTATCATCCTCACTCATTAGTCATATTTTTACCAAGAAATGTTACGCAAGCTGAATTTTCTAGTAACCATTTTTTTGTAATGTTTGTTTAATAATTAATAACTTAAATATAAACGCTCCCTTCTTTAGATTTTCTAGTCCATTAGCCATAACTTGGCAAATTAACATGATTAAGAAACAGGCTCTAAAATGTCTCGACAGAGATGGGTATTATTAAAATTTGATATACTCGGAGATCAAATTGTGTTCTGTATTTATTGTGTCGTCATTCTTCTCTTCCAATCAAATTGTAGTTAACGGAGAGTATGTACAAGAAGCTGGATGATTCTACCAAGTTTTTTAGATTCAAGATCCCCTTTCCATTGCTTGCCTATCCCATATACTTGGTGAGTAATGACCTCATTTTACTGGGAAGTTTCAAACTTTTTCCTGCTCTAATACGTAATATAATTTTTTCCAATTTCAATTTCATCCAACAGATATGGAGATCTCCTGGGAAAAAGGGTTCCCATTTCAGCCCTTACAGTGACTTGTTTCAGCCGGAGGAGAGAATGTCCATTACCATTTCAACTCTTTGCTGGTCATTGATGGCTTCTTTTCTTCTTTACATCTCAACAGTGGTTGGTCCACTTCCAGTGTTCAAGCTCTATGGCATCCCCCTATTGGTTAGTTCTTGAGGACGATTGTCTGTCTCCTGCAGCCTTGGAATGTCATGATAGATTGATAGTGATTCCTATTGACTATGGTTATCATTATTGTGTTTGTTCACAGATATTTGTGATGTGGCTAGATCTAGTCACCTACTTGCATCATCATGGCTATGACAAAAGGCTACCTTGGTATCGTGGCAAGGTTTGACAATCTCATCTTTGTTACTTCGTATATTCTTCCATCACTATTGATAATTTGAGATTCGGGTTTGGGATTGTCATTCCTTCGGAAAATATTCCCTTCTCGAAATGGGATTTTAATTCTACACTGCCAAATTACTGTTTTTCTCTAAAATCTTACATTTCTTTAAATATGCAATGCTTGCAATGCTTGCATATTTACATTTGTAAATAGTCAACTTTGATTATCGATATATTTCATTCTTTATTAGTAAAACATAAAAAATAGATCTTGAAAAACTAAAATGAGAGCAATTTAGCAATGTATTTTAAAATTTTAATAAATAAAATAAATACCGTCAAATTAATAATTTAATACTACAGAAAAGTCCCACAAATATTCATGGAAAAGAGTTCGTTTGAAAACTCGAGTGGCTTGAGTGTCCTAACTGACCTTCCATTTATATTCTTTTGGAGCCTGCAGTTCATTTACTCAATTGATAATGACCGGGTCCTGGTCCACAGAATATATGTCCAATATTGCTTAAACTCTTACGGACTAAGTGCCTACAACGCGATTTGTGGCCTACCGTTCACATTGAAGAGATGTCCTGACCAACCCAACCCATTCTGTCCCGCAATTCCTCATATACTATGGAATTAGTAATTAGTTTTAATGCATTTTTTTAGTTTAGAGTAATTAGTTTGGTGATTTGACCAGAAGTGTTGTTTTTTATTTTAATGCAGTTTTTTTTCGTTTTCTTTTTATGAAAAAACAATTTGTGTGAATATTTTAGTCTTTAGTTTCTTTCCAACCATCCCTGTTGAAATCTTGACTCTTGGAATGTTTTATATTGCAGGAATGGAGTTACTTGAGGGGAGGGTTGACCACCATTGACCGAGATTATGGAATCTTTAACAACATCCATCATGACATTGGCACTCATGTCATCCACCATCTATTCCCCCAGATTCCACACTATCACTTGATTGAAGCTGTAGAGTCCCTCCCTCTTCTCGTTGTTTCTTTATGGGCCTATATCCCTTTTAAGAAGGGCATGGGCTTTTTAACAGACCCTTCTCTTTGTTTTGTATGGGCCTAACTCCCTTATTTGAAGGGCACGGGCTTTTTCAGACCCTTCTCTTTGTTTCTTTATGGGCCTAACTCCCTTTTATGAAGGGCACGGGCTTTTTTATAGGCCCTCTTCTTTGTTTCTTTATGGGCCTAACTCTCCTGTTTATGTCTGCAGACCAAAGCGGCCAGTCCAGTACTAGGGAAGTACTATAGAGAGCCCAAGAAATCTGGGCCTATACCGTTCCATCTCGTCCCCATTTTGGTGAAGAGCATGAGTGAAGATCACTATGTTAGTGATGAAGGTGAAATTGTTTTCTATCAGACTGATCCTCAGCTAAGTTCCAAAAAGAAGCAACAGAAGGCAGCTTGATAAAGATTATATTTAAAATTAGCTATTTATGTGTTGTATTAGTGTTAAACTTATTCCATGGATTACTACTACTAATACTCTAGTGGAATGAAAAAAGGTCTACACAAATGGGCTATTTTGTTAGTTCTATTTATGCCCATTGTAATGAAATATTATTATTGTTACTAATGGGAAATGAATAAGGAGGGTTTGTGGAGATGAGGTTTTCCATAAACATTGTAAAATAAAATTCATGAATGAGAATTTAACTAAAGTTACAAAAGTAACATCACAATCGCATTAAAGAAAGTAATCATCTTGATCACTTAAATATAATTCGAATTTGATGGTAGTAACTAAAATTTCTATTATAATCATTAGTATCAAATGTTGCATTTTTGTCATCTATCTTCATTTTATTTATATAAACACATTGTGACTAGACGAAGTACCTGTGCGATGCACGGGATATATCTAGAAGAGAAAATGACTTGTTTAAATCTTTTAAATTGATAAGTAGTCTAAAAAGGAGAGATAATAACACACTTAGAAGATAAGTCTAAAAACATGCATGACATTCCCAAATAATATAACAACAGTGTCATTAATATACCGAAACAATGCTAAACTTAATAAAATAGTGCAAAGTACTACGTAGTATATAAATAATTTATAAATACTCCATGTCAAATAGTTCAATAAAAATGGTTTGACACGTTCTTGTAGGAAAAGTTAAGTAATAAACACATCAATAACTTCCTTAGGTTCTATAAAATTTGGTCAAATTTAATATTCTTGATCAATGATAATAAATTTTTGACAATGATTGCAGTTGCGCTGTATTGTATTTGTGTCAAACTCATAAAGTTTATACTTTTATGAAAGGATTTTTAAAAATAGAATATTTTCATATAATTTCCAAATTTCAAATAATTTCGTGTCAAAAAGATATTGTTGGTCGAATTTGACCAACATTGATCAAGGGATCAAGGGGAGTGAATATGGCTAAGTTTAATTTGTGGGACAGGAAAATATGTATTGGATTGAAAATTCGAATCACTAAAGCAATGTGAAGATTATTAAGTTGTTAAGATTTTGAAGATAGTAAAAAAATTATTAAATCATGAGGATATACTTAAGAAAATAAATTCAAAGTATATTATTATGATCAGGTATAATTAAATAAAAAATAATGAGGACTGAATAATATGAAATTGCTCTAAATCGGGATGAAAACAACTAGTGTACAACATCCAAATGTTAGTATTGTGTTTTTATTACATAAACAGAAGTAATTGCTAACATACTTGAAATGTATGACTGTAAAGTTTCAAGATGATTGCCCCTATTTAGGGGAGAAATAGTACTTATGTTTTATAATTTTACATTTTTTTTTATTTTCATTTTGGAAAAATGTTCATATATAATTAGCGAGTTGTGAGTTTATTCATATATCACAACTCAATTTCACATATACCAACTCTATATTATATAGATTTGAGTTGAATTTCAATTCTTTTAGATAAACTACTTTCGTCTCACTAACATTAGGATATGAGGAGGTTATGAGGAGGTGGAGTGGGATAAGAAAAAGTGAGTTATGTAGTTGATATTGAATTAATAAAGCAAGAATAACGTAAGAATGATTTAGAAGCACACGCACTTTCCGAATGCATGAAATAATTTATGACCTGATTTATATGGTTGAATTATTGTATTAATCAGAACTTTTGTTGTTCTAATATGAATAGTTCGTTGCAAAAAATATAAACAGTCTTTCATGTGGCTGTTTTTATGATAATTTGGATATTATAATTATGCACATGCTGATCACACCTAGGGGTGTTTGTTATGATGTAAAGTAAACACTTTGCGTGTAAAGCGTGAGGACGTAAACATTTTACACCGTTTGTAAATTATATAATATTAACACTTTGTAATTAAAAGTGTAACATTTATATAATATTAACACTTTGTAATAAAATGTTATATAATGACTGTGTAAAATGTTACATCCCATATTATGATGTAAAGTAAACACTTTGTAAATTATACAACCTATTCCAAATTGTTACCGTGTAATCCCTCACCACATCGGTGAGGGATTACCGTGTAACGCAGAATCCTCCTCGGACTCCACTTGCTTCAAGGCAGCCAACTTTTGGTTCTCGGGACAGTTCCGCTGCAAGTGCTGACCGCCACACCCCCAGCAAGCTTTGGACTTTGGTTTTGTCACACTCGCTTCCGTTGCCGCACTGATGTCGTCACACTTCAACGTCCCCCTTGAACCGGAAATGCCTGATTCTCCCTTGCCCTTGTTCCCTTTAGAACCATCGGACAATGAGTAATCCATGAGTCCTTCGGCCGCTGCCATGGCACTCGGCAAATCCTTCACAGCCTGCCTCCTCAATTCTGTCTGGGCCCATGGCTGCAGTCCAGACACGAAATTGAACAGCCTGTCCTCCTCCGTCATGTTCTCAATGTCCAACATGAGCGAAGAGAACGCCTTGACATAATCCCTCACCGATGTGGTGTGTTTCAAGTTCTTCAGGGCCTCCCTGCCCAACCGTTCTGCCCTCATACTTGGTCTAGCTTGCCTTGTCTTGACTAAGTCCCCATGCCTTAGCCAAACTTCCACCTTGCCCGTTCTTCGCAATGTTGCAATGCCGCGGCATAACTATGCCTTGGCCATTGCCATGATGACTTTGGCCGCATCCCATGTAAACTGTAGAACACTTTTTAAAAAAATTACATCGTAACATGTAAAAATTTTACATGGGTGGAGGGTAGTAAACTATTTTACACCCGTTTATATATATACGATGGAGAATACTGAACATGGAATTACGGCTTCTACACTTTGGTTGATTCGTAGTTATATACGGAGTATATGTTAGCCGCCTAATCCTTTGCCAAGTGTGCAATTTCTTTTGAAGGCAAACATAATTTCTGGGTATAAATTTATTTCTGCCATTTGTGTTTGAAGAAGGCAAACAATCTAGACTTATTATTCCTCACTGATAAATTCATTCATTAATCATTTTGATCGCTGGAAATAATTGAGAAGGATAAATATTGGAAAATTTACTTGAGTTAAATTAATGTGTTGCACGCCACTTTCCTTGTTTTACTAAAGGGCTATTTATCGTTTTTTAAATATGTTGCATGTAAAATTACTTTCCAAACAGTTGATTAATTGGTTGTTTACATTATGGTTACGGTCATTAGAAATTTCTTTAGATATGACAGAAACTTAGACAAAGTGTACAAATAAGAGTACTTATATTCACAAAATAGGACTTATGTGATCTCATAAAAGTAGAAAACTTTTCCTATTAGGATTGAATAAGTCATATTTTAGTAAGAAAACAATGATAATCTTATTTATGCAGTTTATCTATTTTATAGTCATATTTAAGGAGACTCATCTATTAATATTTCCATTTATAATTTTTTCAGATGTCAATTCTGTATCAGTCTAAATTATTATAGTGTATACATTTTGCATACGAATTAAACATTGGGCAACCCGAAAGATTTCTCAATAAATTAGGCTTGCTAAATTATACGGAGTATATTTTTTCATAAATTAAGAATTGAAAATATTATTTTAGCAAAATTTTTCCTAATACATGGGCTTATTTATGATCAGATTTATATGATTGAATTACTGTACTGATATTGATTTAATTTCAACAAAGCTAAATCTCCTAATGAAATATTGTACTTCATATTTTATGAAAATATTAATAAAATGTGTTTATTTCGTAAGCGAAAGTTTCCTAATGAAATCTAAAATTTTGAGTAGGAATTTATGTGTGATTTTGTAGTTGTGAAATGTTATGGAACTTTAAATAAATCATACGTGTGTTTTGCATTCTATAATCATGACCAAATATATGGAATGTTTTTATTTATGGAAAATTTTTATTATTATAGGGCCTAAATGAATGATTCCATGTATGGACTAAAAGACTAAAATTGGTAGCAATACTTTGCACAATTTAATACGGAGTACTTAGTAACATAGGCGGCATTTTAGAACATTGTATAAGGATTTCCAATTATGCCCCTTGAAATGGGCGGGATTTTTCCCTCCAGTTGTGGTGCTGCGACGATTACTTTATATTATATAAAGATTTTTAATCATTGTTGTTATACATAGGTCATATTATTTGACGAGATAAATACCTACATTGATGAGAACTTAAAGTTGCACAAAAACAGTACCGTACCAGACGAGTTGAAACCTCAAGCTAGATACTCTCACTATGGATGGAATCTTCAAGTTTGTTTTTAAAACAAGATACCTTTGATTCATACTGTTATCTAATTCACATGTAGTATGATTCATTGAAAAATTAGACTACATCAATATATATTATTAATTACTCCCATATTATAACTGATAGATACTATAATGATTTAGTGTAATTTTCCTAAAAACCTGAACTTATGAATGTGTGACCTAAAGTTGTACCGAGAAGAGAAAGTGGTAACAAATAATGAGAACCACAATTCTCTATTAAAAAGGAAAATCGAGTTTATATTGGGAAAATGAAAAAGGAAATAATAAATAAGATAATATTGGGGCCGATGAAGTATTAATATGATAAGAAGTATATGATTATAAATATTAAATAATTTTGATAATACTACTATGAAGATAAGAGTACTAGAGTAGTATTGTCGATTGTAGGAAAGATGAGATATATCACCATATTTGAATACGTATAGTTGAAGTCTGAAAAATGAGAATAATGATATGTACTTTTAGTTCCCCCCACCTCACCGCACCCATAGCCCAACCCTAACGGTTAAAGAGTTTATGGGTGGCCAGCCAATAGGAAAACTATAAGAAAAAAATAAAGTTGAAGTTATGGACCAAACTAGGACCAAGACCAGCCGGTCCCAGATTCGCACTCATGACCGGTCCCAAGAGTTCCGCCCACTAGGTCTGTCCCACTCCAAGATCGGTGACCGATCCATCTTATTTTGAGGTTATCCTTAAATTTTTTTTTTCATTTCATTCATACCTTTTGTCGAGCAATTCAACTTGTCTGTTCAAACAGGTCGACTAGTAACTAGTTCAACTGTTCAACCCTTACTTCTATCCGGGACTTCCTTCAATTCCAATATCCTCACTCTCATTCCCAAGCCAGGGGATAGCTGACTCGATAGCTCGTTCTCCTACTCCTATTTCTCATCTTGAACTTCTCGAATTGATTCCTCCAGTGCATGGTAACTTACGCTCTACAATAGCACGCTGACGCTCTATCCCAGGTCAGATCTTTTGAGTCTTTAGGGAGAAACAAAGTACGCAACTAAATCATCATGCTATTTGAAGGTAAGTCCCTAGTTCCAAGAAAGTGGAAATTGGTTGTCTAGAAGGAAGGGAAAGTGCTAGAGATTTTCATTCCATGGTTGAGTTGAAGTCCCTGTGGATAGGTCATTTTCTATTAAGCTAATTCCCTCATGCTAGGAGTCAACCCACCCTAAAAGAGCGCTGTATGAGAAGGCCCTGGGTTTAGATCTAGAATAAATAAGGACTGAGTCTACCTACGCGTTCATCTCTTTTGCTATCTCTTTGGTCGAACTTGGTCAAATGAGGTCAAATCTAGAATGGTCAAACCTTGTGGACAGAGAGGACAGACATGGTGCGTTGTCGTTCGAGGCTTTCGAGGCTAAAGTTTGTTTAACTCCATCGGGTCATGAACTTGCATGGTAAAGGCATCATCGTCAGACCTAGTTACAGGCTTCCCCGAAGTTTCTGGTCCACAACTTCATCCTCGACAGCTTCTGGTTGACAACTTCTAGTTCACAACTTCATTGCCAACTTCTTTCTTCCTCTGATGGCCAGGTTTGTAATCGACAGTTTATGGTCGACAACTTCGTGGTCTACAACTTCTTTCATCTTCTGGTCGATAACTTGTTTGGGAATACTGCCATGTTTAAAGGGTGGTACTGCCAAAACATGAGAGTAAATACTCATATTTTGGGAATAAACATAATAGTCCTATTCTAGAATATACAAACATTTTAATCCTATTTTCTTAAATCACAGTTGATTCATGAGTTGGTTCTTGAACCTTATACTACGTAATATTTTTGTTACACTTGTGTTAAGTCTCACATGAACTATTGGAAAGTTTACATTTTGAGATGTCCTAAGAATTCTTTCCACTTACCATTTTTGGAATGTTTTGTATAACTCACATTCATTTACTTTTTACTTACACAATCATATATTTCCACTTTATTTCAACTTTTTAAATATGCATTTCAAGTCAAAGTGGTAAATACTTTTTGGAATGGAGGGAGTATTTAATTAGATTTCGATTTTAAAATGAGATTTTCTCAAATTCTTTGAGAACTTTGGAAATAGACCAAGATCCTTTCACAACTTAGATTATCAATTAACTTTTCAATGAAGGTGAATCTAAAATTCAAACAATATATGCATTCAGGGTTTAACTCAGAAGTCAGAACCCCATTTCTTTCAAACACAAAAGCCCGCCACCATCTCACGCCACCTCTCATCACCCACTCTCAAATTCAAATCAAATCCCACTCCTTTTTCTTCTCACTTTCACTTTTTCCCACACTAATCATTCTACATACCCCTTTTTGCCTCTCCTCTTATCAACCTTTAACCCTCTCCGTTCATTATCAGAACATGAAACTCTTGTCTTCCTCCTCTAACTTCTTCATACACCGGTGGCAATGCCTTCCAAGAATGCCCCTCCGGGATGTATTTCCAGAATGTTTCGCCGTCTTCTTTGCTCCGATTCTATCCCCAAACACCCTTCTCCTCCTGATCACGTAGTTGAGAAGCCGAAGCAAACAAAACCCGAAGAGGCGGGGAGAAGAACAGGGGTTGTGGCTAAGCTAATGGGTTTGGAATCAATGCCGCCCAGAACTAATTTCAGTTCAAATTGTGTTACCCGAAGCCGCTCGATGGATTGCCTGAGAGAACCCAACTCTAAGGAGGAGATTCCTCTAAAAGCTCGTAGCTTTCGCGAAATTCCCACCTACTTAGAGCTAGAAGATGAGAATTTCTTCATTCTTAGCTTTGAACATGGAGGAAGAAAGAGTGCAGAGTGTGGGAAAGTTAAAAACAGCCCCAACAGAAGAAGGCAAAGTGTTTACCGGAAGTCCAGTGAGATTAAAAACAAGACTTCTGAGATTATTGTTGGGAAGGATGGAGAGAAGGTTCAAGAACCAACGCGCGGATCAACTGTGCTGCCTCGCGCCCGAAAGGAGGTTGTTCAGAAGAGGAATACGAAGAAGAAGAAAGAGGATTGCAGGCAAGAGAGATTCAAGAGGAAGATGAAAGAAGAAAAAGATTGTAATTTGGTGCACAAAATGAAAGTCAAAGCAGACTGTGATGATACAGAGAAGTCAAGCCCCAATTCTGTTCTTGATTTAGTTGAATTGGCAGCTCTGCAAGACACTTCTTCTTCTACAGGTTTGTCTAGTTTCATGTTTTGAGTATAATTAGATTAAGTCATCCCATTGATAGAACAAAAAATCTATTGGTACACATTTTTCGTACACACCTACACACTCATGTTTGTGAAGAGTATTTTTTTGTCTGTATACAGACATAACGTATTTGAAAATGTGTAATATCTGTATACAGACAAAAAAATACTCTTCACAAACATGAGTGTGTAGGTGTGTGTATGAAAATGTGTACCTCAAGCTGGATTGTTGATAGAAAGACAAACGTAATAGTCAATTTTTCAGAGAGCATTTGTTATTACAACTATAACTAATTTGTAAGGATAGTCACAGGGCCCGTCCTAGGGCATGGGCAGGAGGGGCGTGCGCCCAGGGCCCTTTGCTCCAGTAGGGTCCATAAATTTTCAAAACATGTACACTAAAAGACATGTATAAGACATGTACACTAAAAGATTAAAATTAATGTAATAATCCGTAATGATTCAAAAGAAATGGTGAAATATGTTCACAATGAAATTTAATGTGGATGTTTCAAAATTATAGACTTGTATCGTGTAGATGGTAAATAACAAAATAGAAGTATCTAAAAATATAAGTTTGATTTTATTTTTTTAATTTTTATAAAATACAATTTATATATAATTAAAATATGTATATATTTGACAAATTTCCTCCGATTCTCTCATTTAGTGAAAGATTGAACTTTAATGTCCATATTTTAGAAACTTAGAATTTGTTTTTGTCTAGTAATTTGAAATATGAAAAAGTTACTCATACAAGATATAACTTTCACAACTTTCCTATATTCAAAATTTTTATTGCGCCTAATAGTTGCACTACTCGTTTCAACACCCTCTTTATCTAACCATATGCTTTGTTAGTTTTTTTTGTGTGTTATACTAGTATTTTGACGGTAAAATTGTATAATTTTAAATTATAGATTTTCCCACGCTATCCCCTGAGGCCTAATCTATTTGTATTGTCCCGGGCCCATAAAATGTCAGGACCGAGCCTGGATAGTCATAAGACTTTCCTCTGCTAAGATTGGTAAATGACTTGTTTAGATTTAATTGAAAATTTCATATTTCACTTAATATTTCACCATATGCTTGCATTTCACAGTTCACATTCATATATTTATCTTTTTTCATTAAATCTGAAGTCCTAATAGAGTTTTATGTGTTTCTCAACAGAAAAGTATTCAAAATTGGCAAGTTTGAAATCACGTCGCACCCTGTCCGAAGAGCTTGAGAATCACAGGGAGCCGAAAAGCGGAAGTGATGGTTTCAAACCTCAACAGAGCAATAAAGTGTATTCTCAAACAAAGAAGGATATTTGTAAAGAAGAAAATTATGTAGAGTTGTGGGGAGAAATTTGCAAATTGACCAGAATGGATACAGTTCAAAACGAATGGGCAGTGGATAAAAAAGAAGTATGTAAATATGAAATTTGTGGGAGTTTGGAGTTTGAAATTGTTGATGATTTGGTGAAGGAGATGGTGGAGCAACTTTACGTTGATTCCAAGACATCTTTTGTTTGATTCAACTTAAAAAGTTTTTGTATGTAAAATTCAAATCATACACCTTTGTACAAATAGCATCGTGCTTCCAATTGTCCAAACAAACAAGAGTTTATCATAAGATGTGTAAGGTCTCATGATATAATAAACAATAGTACAATTTGTTGGAAATATGATGAAATAAATAATGGTATAATATATATGAATTGGAAGTGGCTTAATATACATTAAAGAACAACTTACATGTTTGGATCTATTTCATTTAATGACTAGAATCCATAGTTGTAAAGGTTGTAAATGTAATGTATTAGTTTGGTGAATTTATTGTCCAATGTTTAAAATAAATGGTACTTTTATATGATAAGGAATAATATTTAAGTATCATATAATCATAAAAGCCATTTAAATTTTGGGACAAAAATTCTGAAATGTAATATATAAAATGAAGCCTGCGGACAATATAATTGCTTAAGTGATATTGCTCACTAAGTGTTGATAGGTACGTGCATTTTGAATTTAAAATTCAAAATTTAAAAGGTGCTTGGTCACACTTAGTTTATTTGATCCGGTCATCAAGGATCATGGGAGCACTATTATAGGAGTAGTTAGACTTCTGACCAATTAATTTCGGTATATGAATACCTATCTGATTTCCGAAGCAAAAAAAATAATCCGCTGCATGCTCTCTTTATTTTCACACGTTCACAAGCATTCGGCTCCACTAGTACTTCACGAACAAAACAAACCAAAAGTCCTCTTGAGTGCTTTGTGATAAAGGACATACATACACCTCCTATTTGATACTCCAGTGACTATTCTTTTTGGGTTACTTGGTCAAGAGCTTTCACTTTCGATTTTGAATCCATAGTTCATCATTTTCTTTTCGGCTCATCTCTTTAAATCGGCAATTGGGCAACGGTCGAGGTGTTTCTGTCAAGCAAGCTAAAGGACCGGAACAGAGGTAGGATTATCCTGGGAGCGAGTTGGCCAGTCCCGTTCGAGTAGCTATCGAGATACGGGGGCTATCTTTCTTCAAGGCCAGTGCGGTTAACGGACGATCTTACGCTAAGTCTTCTTTTCTCTACTTTTTATTTTAATATTTAATTTCTAATTATTGTTTCTATTTTATTTGTTCTTGCATTTGGTGGTTTGTCTGGTGATTTGTGATTAAACTCGGGATTTTATCTGACTAAACTCGCCATTTAAATACTATTTTTCTATCAATCTTGAAGAAAGATATTATTTCTCGAGTTTTGAAAATCCAATATGACGAACTTGGAAAATGCTGCTACTTCTGAAAACGTTGTTGTTGAGAATAATGTGAATGAAACCCCTGAAAATAATGTTAATTCTGTGTTTGTGACTAATTCTGGAGACACACCTGAATTTGTTGCTACGGGCTCTCACAGGGTTGATTTGACCGGAATGCCGGAAAAATTTTCCGGACATTTTTTCAAGCGTTGGCAACAGCGCATGAAAATTTGGTTAATCACCAAGGGATTGCTCTCCGTAATTATGACGGTGTGTCCCCCCGTTGTCGAGTCTGATCCCAAAAGTCTTGAACGCCAAACTTTATGGCGTGAGAGGAATGAAATAGCCAAAGGAATGATATTGTTGGGACTCTCCGACATGTTATTTGATGTCTATTGCACCCTCCACGGCACGGCTAAAGACCTTTGGGATGAGTTGGATAGGAAATATAATACTGATGACCACGGTCTAGAAAAGTATATTGTTTCCAAATTCTTGAGATTCGACATGAAAGAGGGAAAATCTGTTTTAGAACAAACACAAGAATTTGAGCTTATCTTACATTCTCTCCGTGAAGCAGATATGGAATTGCCTGAAAAATTTAAAGTCATGGCTGTAATTGAAAAATTCCCCAAATCGTGGGAAGATTTTGGTTTGACTTTAAAACACAAAATGAAAAAGATAACTTGGAAAAGTTTGATGCATTCCATTACTGTTGAGGAAGAACATAAGAAAGCGGGTTATATTGTGCCTGTTGAATTTCAGCCAAAGGCTCATGTTGTAACCGGGGGAAAGCAGTCACAAAATTCTAAAAATAAACAACCATCATCTTTTAAACCAATAAAGGCCAAATTAAAAATTGCAAAGAAACCAAAGGCAAACCGGCCATGCTGGAACTGTGGACAGATGGGGCATTGGGCCAAATTATGCCCAAATTAAAAGGCTAAGGCTCAATCTGGTGGACCTCAAGTCAACGTGGTGACTGGAGGAACTAGTTCTGATGGGTATGTTTCTATTAACCCTCAAGTTTTCACTATATATAATTCCAATGAGTGGCTAATAGATACAGGAGCGAATGTGCATGTATGTGCTGATAAATCGCTCTTTGTTTCTTATCAGCCTGCGGTTGGAAGAACAGTGATGATGGGAAACACAAGTGCTGCTAGTGTGCATGGAGTTGGAAAAGTAGAAATAAAATTTCCTTCGGGAAAAATACTTACTTTGCATGGAGTGCATCACGTTCCCGAAATTAGAAGGAACATTGTTAGTGGTTCCATTCTAGTTAGGGAGGGTTATGAGTTATCTTTTAAATTTAATAAAGTTGTAATTTTATTTGGTGGACTTTTTATTGGCAAGGGTTACTTGTCGGATGGACTTTTTAAGATTGTGGTTGATTATTTTGAATTAAATTATGTATCTGAGAATGTGATTCTTCAACTTTATGGCATTATCGTTTGGGTCACGTTAATTTAGATTCTGTAAAAAGAATGATGAATTTAAATTTAATTCCTAAACACTCTATTGATAAAACTAAGAAATGTATGGTATGTGCTACTACAAAACAAGTACGAAAACCGTATCATTCAATTGATAGAAATTCTGAATTACTTGATTTAATTCATACCGACATTTGTGAGTTTAATGGAGTGTTGACTCGTGACAAGAAGAAATACTTTATCACTTTTATTGAAGATTATTCTAAATACTGTTATGTTTATCTACTTAAGGGTAAAGATGAAGCTCTTGAAAAATTCTTAATTTTTAAGAATGAAATAGAGAATCAAACCGGCAAGAAAATTAAAAGGTTAAGATCTGATAGGGGAGGAGAGTACACTTCTAATTTAGTTGTACTAGAATGCCAAAAATATGGTATAGTACATGAAGAAACACCTCCTTATTCACCACAATCAAATGGAGTAGCTGAACGGAAAAATAGAACTTTTAAAGATATGATTAACAGTTTATTAGAGAATTCTGGATTACCTAAGTTTATGTGGGGGGAAGCCTTGAATACGGCCTGCCATATTCTGAACAGGATTCCCATGAAACATAAAGATAAGTGTCCATTTGAACTCTTGATAGGTAGAAAACCAAGTTTAAAATATTTTAAAGTGTGGGGCTGTCTTGCAAAAGTATTAGTCCCTGAACACAAAAGAAAGAAACTTGGGCCTAAAACTGTTGATGCTATTTTTATTGGTTATGTTGAACATTCTTATGCATTGAGATTTTTGGTTATTAAATCTGAAATTTCTGGCATAGATGTTATTACTATTATAGAACTTCGTGATGCTACTTTCTTTGAAAATGTTTTCCCAATGAAAACGGGTGTCCCCCAAAATATTTCTTTTAAAAATCAAGAAACCACATTTAATTCAATTCCTGATCAAGTGGAAAAGATGACAAATGTGGGGGTAGAATCTAGTAGTACTAGTCTCGCTAGTTTTGAATCAAATGAACTAGATGAGCCTAGAAGGAGCAAACGGGCTAGGATCACTAAGGAATTTGGAAGTGATTTTATCACTTACAATATTGAGGGTGATCCAGTTTCCTTTAGAGATGCAATGGCTACTTCCGAAGCCATGCATTGGAAGGATGCCATTAAAAGTGAAATGGACTCCATTGTTCAAAATGGAACATTGGAGCTCGTTGATCTTCCTCCCGGGTGTACTACTATTGGGTGTAAATGGATTTTTAAGAAGAAATTAAAACCAGATGGAACCATTGATAAATTTAAGGCCAGATTAGTTGCCAAGGGTTACAAACAAAAAGAAGGTATTGATTTTTTCGATACATATGCTCCGGTTGCAAGAATGACCACAATTAGAATGCTTATAGCAATGGCCTCCGTATATGGTCTTAAAATTCATCAAATGGATGTTAAGACAGCTTTTCTTCATGGTGACCTTGAAGAAGAAATTTATATGGACCAGCCTGAAGGATTTGTGGCAAAAGGCAATGAGAGAAAAGTTTGTAAATTAGTTAAGTCTCTATATGGACTTAAGCAAGCCCCTAAGCAATGGAACGAAAAATTTGATAAAATAATTCTTTCGTTTGGATTTACTCTTATAGATGCTGGTCAAAGTGTTTATTATAAATGTAAAGGTGATATTAGTATTATTTTATGCCTATATGTTGATGATATATTATTATTTGGCACTAATGATAATATTATTTTTGAGACAAAGTCATTTTTAAAAACAAAGTTTGAAATGAAGGATATGGGTGTGGCTGAAGTAATTCTTGGCCTAAAGTTGACTAGATCAACCGAAGGAATTTCTATTTCTCAGTCGCATTATATTGAAAAATTAATTGAGAAATTTGGATTTAAAAATAGTAGAATTGCTAAAACACCCTATGATCCTTCAGTAGCTTTGTATAAAAATGAAAGTGGTGTTCCTGTGTCTCAATTAAGATATTCTCAGATGATTGGTAGCTTGGGTTACTTAGCTAACTGTACTAGACCTGATATTGCATTTTCAGTGTCTAAGTTGAGTCGGTACACTTGTTGTCCAAACAGAACTCATTGGGAGGCCTTAGATAGAGTATTTAGATACTTAAAAGGAACTATTTCCTTGTGTTTGCATTATGGTAAATATCCTCCTGTTCTTGAGGGATATAGTGATGCAAGCTGGATAGCTAAGAACTCCGGGAGTTATGGATGTACAGGCTATGTGTTTACGTTTGGTGGTGGGGCTGTTGCCTGGAAGTCCACTAAACAAACGATACTTTCTCGGTCTACTTTTGAGGCTGAATTGTGTGCATTGGATACTACTGGAATTATGGCTGAATGGTTTATGGGATTAATGTCTGAGTTACCAATATTTAGCAAGCCAATTCCACCTATTTGTTTGCATTGTGATAGTATGAGCACAATTGCAAAAATTAGGAGTACCAAGTATAATCAAAAGACTAGGAGACACATTCAAGTTAGATTAAAGACTATAAGGAAATTTGTGTCTCAAGGGGTGTTTGCTGTTGATTTTGTTGGATCCAAAGATAATACAGCGGACCCGTTAACAAAAGGACTTGATTTAAATCAAGTGATAAAATCCAGGTTAGGAATGGGACTGAAACCCAATAACTATTCAACTACGGTAGCAACCCAACCTATCTGAGTGGAGATCCCATAAAGTAGGTTCAATGTGGTATAAACAAACCGTAGTGTGAATTGTGCATCTCACTAAAATATGTTATGAGTTCTATTCCTTGATAAGCCTGAGAGATGCTGAAATTGCTAAGTTAGTAAGAGTTAAAGACTCTGAATGGGATCAAGCTTTTATAGCAGAGTGTTAGCAATGCACTCTTGGAGATGCCCAACTATGAGAATGTTATTGTGTGGCCGCAATTAGAGAATAAGGGTTAATTCTCGATGACATTCTTGAGACAGGATCGGGACGCACGGCCGTAAAGCGTCAACCCTATAGATCGTTGCCATTGCCATTAGTGTGTTGCTTTTATCCCACGCCACCACAATCAAGGTTCGAGTTCAAGAACTCTGTTCACTCAGTTCCTGTGGGGGTAAGGGGTAAAAGCTTAGAAGTTGGTTCAAACCGGAAGGTACCATATTCGAAAGCACATTATGTCTTTTCAATTTGAGCCAACAACTATGGATTTGTGGGAGATTGTTGGAAATATGATGAAATAAATAATGGTATAATATATATGAATTGGAAGTGGCTTAATATACATTAAAGAACAACTTACATGTTTGGATCTATTTCATTTAATGACTAGAATCCATAGTTGTAAAGGTTGTAAATGTAATGTATTAGTTTGGTGAATTTATTGTCCAATGTTTAAAATAAATGGTACTTTTATATGATAAGGAATAATATTTAAGTATCATATAATCATAAAAGCCATTTAAATTTTGGGACAAAAATTCTGAAATGTAATATATAAAATGAAGCCTGCGGACAATATAATTGCTTAAGTGATATTGCTCACTAAGTGTTGATAGGTACGTGCATTTTGAATTTAAAATTCAAAATTTAAAAGGTGCTTGGTCACACTTAGTTTATTTGATCCGGTCATCAAGGATCATGGGAGCACTATTATAGGAGTAGTTAGACTTCTGACCAATTAATTTCGGTATATGAATACCTATCTGATTTCCGAAGCAAAAAAAATAATCCGCTGCATGCTCTCTTTATTTTCACACGTTCACAAGCATTCGGCTCCACTAGTACTTCACGAACAAAACAAACCAAAAGTCCTCTTGAGTGCTTTGTGATAAAGGACATACATACACCTCCTATTTGATACTCCAGTGACTATTCTTTTTGGGTTACTTGGTCAAGAGCTTTCACTTTCGATTTTGAATCCATAGTTCATCATTTTCTTTTCGGCTCATCTCTTTAAATCGGCAATTGGGCAACGGTCGAGGTGTTTCTGTCAAGCAAGCTAAAGGACCGGAACAGAGGTAGGATTATCCTGGGAGCGAGTTGGCCAGTCCCGTTCGAGTAGCTATCGAGATACGGGGGCTATCTTTCTTCAAGGCCAGTGCGGTTAACGGACGATCTTACGCTAAGTCTTCTTTTCTCTACTTTTTATTTTAATATTTAATTTCTAATTATTGTTTCTATTTTATTTGTTCTTGCATTTGGTGGTTTGTCTGGTGATTTGTGATTAAACTCGGGATTTTATCTGACTAAACTCGCCATTTAAATACTATTTTTCTATCACAATTATCTCTCATGAAAATTTCATCCATCCAACTAATCATCATTTTGCAATAATTCTTCATTCCTTAACTCCCTCGGCCCTCCGCGCACACCACCACAAGCTAAGATAACTTTCAAAATGTTGTAATTATACTACATAAATAATAAGCATTTTGGAATTATAGTTAGATAGACAATTGTGGTCGATCCGGTGCATACCCGCACAAACCGCTCCGGTGAAACAGGGAAACCCCAATTGCTCTGGTTACAAAACTTACGGTTTTATACATGTTTGTTTCATTATCCACCCTACTACCCCGTTTTTTTAATAATAGTTTGATTTCATTTCTTCCTTATTTGTACCATATCTAAAAATATGAGATTTTTCCCGTTCTATTGTGGATATACGGATGTATTCACTACAATTTATGAAAGAAAACCCATAATAGATTTTTAAAGTCTCCTTTGTTTATTATTGTTTTTATTTGTTTAATTAATATACTTAAATAAATTTAGATCACCTTCTTACCCGCCTTGTAATTGTAAGTACACGTAGTTTGATGTCTAGACACTCTAAAGTCGTGTAAGCCATGCCATTTTATGTAATTATGTCTTTTACAATATTTTGTTTTTGCTTTTCATCCTTGTAATATGTATCAATTTATAATTTATCTCTAACTTTGAAACCACTTTATTTAGAAAAAAAAGTTCTTATCGATCGGATATTATACCAGAATCTTTTGAATTTTTGTTTTTATATTT